CTGTTTGAGTGTACTCTTGCCATACACTTTTTTTCAAAGCTAAAAGCCACAACAGACAGCAGCTGAAAATGTGCCAAAATCTTTGGTGACTAATGATCACATTGGTTTGAGGTTGTCTGTCACCCCTTATAACCCCTGCTGGGAGTCAGCAAATGCTGGAAACTAATTTAACTTGTACAATCATTGGCAGGCACTGGGTGTAAACAAAGGTAGTCAACATTTTGCTTTTTTGTTTTAAAACTTCAGCTGTAAATTGCTCAAACACATGTACATTTAGTTAATTTTAGTTGAAATGTCAGGCAAATTACATGTTTAATCTTTAAACAGTACAATCCAGTTTAAGGACACAACTTTTTCTGTCTTTGTTTTTTGGTAACTCGTTTGTAATCTGACTTCACCATTAGCTGATACATTTCTAAAACTAATTTTTTGCTTCATTAGAAAGCACACAGCTGCTTTCACGAGTAACTTTGAAATATTCAAACATTAGGTCTTCTAATGTCACGCTGTAGGATAAACAAGTCAAAATAAACCAGTAAAATAACTCATTTTGTTGCTGATTGAAACTATAGCGTTCTCATAAACTGTCAGAAAGGTTGGCAAATTAGAATATTTGATGATAAATAATATTACACTAGTATTAGGTTGTACAGAGTGTTAAACTCAGAGTTTGAAATGGCTAGCAATGTACCTGCTTCTACAGCCTTCACAGTGATATTGTGCCAGCCTGCAGTCTCTCTGTCCAAAATCTTTCCCAGCGTGATGGCACCAGAGTCAGGATCAATATGAAAGATCATCTCTTGGTCTGTAGTCCGATCGATGGAGAACCTATTACAACAAACAATAAAATTAGGATGTAGATGTTAAAGTCAATGCAAAAATGGATGAATAATTACAATGAATGATTTATTTATTCATTTCATTTTTTTAGTTACTTTATTTTTTTTTTTTTTTTAGGTTGTTTTTAAGGGTTAAAAAAAAAGACATCTGTAGATAACATTTTGCAGTAGTTATACATGGTCATGACAAGCGTTGAAATTTTTTTGAAACATTTACAGGAGACTTGCCACAAGCTCTGTGACCCTAATAGAGCTATGCCCCTTCGCTATATTTGCTTATATATTGACTCGTTCTTTTCTTATGCAGAGAAAAAAATGCATTAAATTTTCATTGTGCACTCTAGAAAAAAACACAAATTCATCTTTCCTTCTTTGGGGTATGCGCTGCTCTCAAAAGACTGGTGAGTCAACAAAAATCTGCTGAAATATTTTGTTATTCTTAGTTCTTTTCTACACACACACCATTCTTACTCAAGTCTACATAAACCACCTCCTGATAGCCTATTTGTCAAGGAAACCAGCCAGCAATACCTAGTAACATGGTTACATTTTACACAAAGCATAGATATTAACATAAGCAGGTTTTGATTTTACATGTTTTCGAAAAAAAAAACCCCAAAACAAACAATGATAAATATTAGCATGTTCTGTTTATATTTCACTCATGCCATGTAATGTCATTAAAAACTAATTGTGATCATTCAGTCTTAGAGCATTAACATATTTTTACTGTTTAAAAAGCTAAGTTTTTAAAATACTGTGGTAGGATGATATACTATTGCACAAAGAAACATAATACCTACAATATAGGTTCTGTATATATAGGTGTCATCATGTGCATAGCTCTGTTAAATCTTAGTGTAACTTAAGTATTAGATTTACAACGGAGAGTCTCCCAGTGCAGTCTCTCCCACCATGACAATCAAACCTCCTTTGTTTGGAACACAATGCAACTGCAATTTACAACAATCCAATCACTCCTGCTTCCCACACAGTTTTGAATAGTATTGGCCGTTATTACTTAATGTTGTAATTTGTCACTGTGTCACAAAATTTAGGTGCTTTTCACAATTCTAAGTAGTTTCACACAGAACTACAGTGTGTATTTTATGGATATGGTTTGTATACAGATATATGTTGTAGAATATATGTATGCATATAGTGCAGTGAAAGCATAAAGTACTATAAATTCCTTTTAAATTATACATAAGCACATGAACATAGCTACTGTCCACTGCCAGCTGCCACTTGTTTTCATCAAGTCAAAATAAATGTCTGTTCTACAAAAGCTTTCTTGCCAATCAGTTCCACAGAGCGTGTATTTGATCATTTCCTGTGTATAATTATACATAGTTGATAGAGGATATGCTATCAGATGACATGAGCTTGGTAACTCTATTCAGTAGGTAATTCCTCGCTAACATCTCCCATCTCCCTTTTGTCTCAATAACTTACTCGCTTAGTGAAGACACATGCATAAACACAAAACCTACTTTGATATGTTCATAGACACACATATAATTCTGACTGCCGGCTGCCAAGACATTGGTGAATGACAGCGCTGCCATTGTGTTTTACTTTATTACACCTAGAACTCTGAGCCTCATGCATTTTTAATCAAGGTAATTTGCACAGGCCCTGTGTGTGTCGCCGTATACTCTGCCAGTGAGACTATCTTAGACCTTATCTACATTCCCTTCTCACATTGCAATTGCTCCTCTGAGGATATATAAACCAAAGACCTTCAAACACAAGATTACTAGATTATATTGTTTTATCACACATGTTGATCTGAGAGAAAAATGTTCTGTACACTGTCATCAATTGTTCACGTAACAATGCTGTTTGGATTTTCATCTTCAAGAGAAATTGTTAAGGAAATTGTCTTTAAGCCCACCAGCTACATGTGTATCACCTAGTGAACTACAGTTTTTTAAAAGTCTTTTTTTTTTCAGCAGAATGCTGTGATTAAGTGTGTTTTAGGTCTGCAATAATATAGCACTACCTTTATTGATCTTGCCATACCTGACAGGTTTATTCTTCACATCTGGATCCCTTGCAGTAACAATTCCAACTAGGGCTCCTACTTTGGCATCCTCCTGGACTTCCATGATAGTGCCATCGGCTGGGTAAAAGATGGGTGGCTCATCTGTGTCCGACACGCTCACCAGGACAATGGTCTGGTCACGGAAAGATCCCAGGTCCACAAAACGAGGGTCCACATGCTTATTAACCGCCTCCACAACAACATTGTGTGTCCGTTTGTTCTCAAAGTCCAGCGGCTAGCATAAAAAGCAGAAAGACAAAGAAAGATTACAAAAGTACAGGTTTGCACAGACTGTAGATGTTCACAGATCCAGTGCTGTTTGTGAATATATCTTGAAAAGGCTTAGTGAATTCCAGAGCAGTAATATAGCCATAGCACAGGCTAAGTGTTAAGTTATATTGTCACTTCATATTAACATATTACGTCATCATGTTATTGAGATTCCAGCGAACGAAAGTATTGTTGCTAGCTGGATGTCTTCTTGTTGATTTTACCATTATGCACATGTTACAAAAGGATTCTTTCATTTATGAGAAACACTTTTATTATTTATTTCAAAGGAAAAAATAAATGTAGCAAATGTGGGAAATATACTCACTTTTTCCTTGATATAAAAGCATTTTCTTTAATTTTTTAATAGGACTGTATTTAAAAGTTTGTTTGTATGAACAATTGTATCACAAGAAACGTATTCTTAGCATTTAAAATCTACCTTCTTGATGGAGACAACAGCTTCCTGTGTCTCCATATCTGTAGTGACTTTGAAGAGCTCGCCTCCATCTGTGATCAGATAGCTCATGTCTGTGTTCTCTCCCATGTCTGCATCTGTGGCAATGACGCGTCCAACTGGTGTCCCGACAGCAGCTCCCTCTGACACGGAAAACTGGTACATTTCTGGTAAATAAAGTATGTGGCCCAATGGTAGAAAATATAGAGGCAGTTAAACCAAGATCCAGATTTTTGGTGTACAAAACAACACAAAAGAAAGATGAGATCCAAAAGTAACACAGAAAAGAGAAATACACTAGTGGAGGAAAGATAGGGAAAGATAGATGGATAGCCATAGGTAGAAAAGTGCTGAGGGAAGAAAATCGCTGAAGAGATGGATAGGAAATAGACAGAGAAAAGTGGGAAGAGGAAGTAGATGAGATATCAATAAAGATAAAGTAAAGCGCTGTTAAAGAAGGGAAGAAATGGCTAACAGGGGTTAGAGTGCCAATGAAAAGTTATAAAGGAAAGGACTGAAAAAGGTAGACTTCATGCAGTTATTAGTGAGCATTCACATACATTAACATTATTATTCTCACATTTCCTATGAAAGCATAGCGCTATATTAACAGTTCCACTAGCCCTAGCCCTCTACCTATTAGAATTCACCCTAGTGTTACATTATATCATTTGACCAATATCATATAATCTGCAATTTAAACCATCTTGAACTAAGAATAAAAACTTGTCGCCATACTCACATTGTCAACTGTAACTCTAAAGACTAGACCAAAATGAATGCGATCTATCACAGATTATTGTAAAGTACTGCAAGAATAAAATAAACAAAAAATAAACGAAAAAGTTATTCGCCAAAATACATGTGTCATATATCTCATATACACATCATATCTCATCCTCCTTATTTATGAAGCTGCATTCAGATTCTATTTCTTCACTATATTGTAGTGTCGAGGAACTTTAATCCTACAGGGTTTATCCCTCTGACTGGGTAAATATGATTTACTGAGATGAAAAAAAAGATTTATACAGGAATAAGAAAAAGGTCTGTGGAGACATATCAAATACAATCAAACAGACTGTCAGATGCTGCACCTGTAGCTTTTACAAAAGTAATACTGTTATGGGTTACAGCCTTAGTTTAACTCCAAAGAAGCAGAATGAAGAAAGAGCTAAAAAAAAAAAAAAGACAAGAAGGGAATGCAGTACTTTACTCAGACATGCAATCACACGCCAGTTAGGACTGTTACAATATACCAATTATTTGCACATTGGTACATTTATTTTAAAGAACAATGTATGCTGTATGGACATTTTGGTTTGCTTTAAAAAAGACTATTACTCAACTGAATTAAGTGTGTTTTTGTGTTTAAGAGAGAGAAAAAATATTTTTAGCCACATTAAACTTTACTTTTTAAATATATTTTGTTGAGTAAATTGAGCATCAAAGAAATTCAGCTGAAAAAGAACCCATCCATAACATTACAATGTACAGTCTATCAATATATAGAGTTATTTTTAATGTATGGCAGGATGCAGGCCGTCTATTCTACTGCATATTTTTAGTGGCTTTTAGGTTGTATACAATTTTCTTGTATGTTGTTGTTATTTGTGCCTTGGCTTTCATTTTCTTCACCCACATTGCCAGTCATTAGCTTCTCTCTATTTCTGTCTCATTATCTTTTTTTTTTTTCTAAAGTGGGAGAATGCACAGGATACACTCACTCTGTGGAAAGCGTGGTGGGTTGTCATTAACGTCCGTGATCACTATAGTCACTGTGGTGGAGCCAGAGAGACCACCCATTTGTCCTGCCATGTCTGTTGCCTTGACGACCAACTCGTAACGATCCTGTGTCTCACGATCCAAATCTGCCACTGCTGTCATGATGATTCCTAATGATTGAGAGATAGAAGTGAGTTTAAGGGAGAGTGGCAGAAAGAGGAAGAGTAGTTAGCAAGTGACACCACTGGAAGCGTTGCATTAGTGGTTAGCTCTTGTGCATTAAACCAATTATATTTCCTCTCAGTCTGAGGATCAACTTGTGATAAGTACTGCATTATGGAGGCAAAAGTACAATGCGTTCCATTTCTCTTCTACCAACAGAATGGATGGGAGAGACCATGTGGTACTGGTGACTCTTCACATACACCATTTTATGGCTTAGCTGTATTAAGATGAATAATATATAGAGGGACAATGAAGGCATGACACAGCTTCCCTGAACTGCATTGCAACTCTCCAGTTCAATTTGGGTAGGTGGGTGGTTATGTTTGCATTCAGGTTTGAGATTTAGATTCCCTAAAAAGCTACTGAGATACATAGAAAATGTGAAATATTGTAAATATAGAGGTATGAAGCACAGATGGGGGGCAGTCTGACAGTTTCCAGTGCTTGGGAAACCATGTTTTGTAGCAGTAACAGCAGAAGAAAAACAACAAAGAAGTGACAAATGTTTGTTTATAATTCATAACAAAAAAAGCCTAACCAGTGTTTATTAAATGGCTATTTTAGACAACATTTAACTCCTTATTGGCCCAGCATTAGCCACATCAGTAGCTCTCTGCTTTACTCTGCAGCAGTAATATAATTCCACGTTACCCCTTGGGATTTTTCCCATCAGAATCTATAGATATATTTCTCGGTCTTGGTGTGCTGTCTCACTCCCAAAGGTTTGCGTTGTGTTGGGTATACAACTCACAGATTCCAGTCACATTTAGCCTTGGGCCCTGTTCTATGAGTAACCAAAATACAGTACATGCAGCAATAGAGTTAGGGCTGGAGACAGATGACATGCTCCTCTTTTATCCAACAAAGCCAGAGGGGACGCATCTAAATTAGGGCTGTCGAAAGTAAAGCCACAATCTCTAACAAGTATACAGCAGTGCTGCTCTAACTTCATGGTATAGAAACTATATATGCAGATGAAACTGCATGGTCTTTATTTATCAAAGAAGTAAAAAAAAAACTCTATGCACTTCATACTCCAGAGCGTATCACCCCCCCTAAGATTAAACACTGTAACTGGATGACCGGAATGTGTACACCAACTGTGAAATGGAGCTTCAGTGATTCATTGCATTAACATAAGAAATAAATAAATAAATAATATAATCAAGTCTCCCCACTACATGGATTCTAAAAAACAATGACTTATACCTGTCACCTCTTCATTCCTTCTGCTACTTTGTGGCTTTAAAAACTGACGATGCACACATAGTGCTGTTTTCACATTTTTACCACAGGTGCCATTGCACTCTACTTATTCACTTTTGGCAGTTGCATTCATAGACAGCACCTGTGTTGCTTTTATTTCCTTTTTATTTTGAGCCTTGAAAATAAAGAAGCCCCCTTTGAGAGAGTACAGATATAAGCTTGAATGACATCTAGAAGCACAAAGGCATACTCCGTGCCCAATGCCACTCTACACTTCAGTTCATGTTGTGTTTAATTGATAGTTATGAACCATATGTATAATTATGTAAAAACTGTTTTTTTTTTTTCAGTATTGTTACAATTTAGTTAGCAGAAAATCTTATTTCATCATTTTCATAGCTAATTTGGATTTATATTGCAGTTTTGGCTGATGTATACCATCGCAAGTTTACTGTTGTTATTGATGCTTCTTGGTAAAATTTAATAGCATAGAAAGATATAGAATTCTTAAGGGGTGAGAAAATCTAGATATTTATTTTTTATGATATAATGATCCACTGGGCTTGTAAAAGAGAGATTAAATAGTATGATTTAAACATTTTAAAACAGCTAAAAGGACAGTACTCGGATAATCAAAAAAACATCTTCAGGCAATTTCAGCTTTGCCAAAGCAACAGAAAAAAAACAGTGACTTGTTATTGGGTTTGTTGTCAAGGTGAGTGAGAGTGATATTAATGAGGTAGATTTCACAGCTGTTTTGTCTCCTCTTTATTTTGACCTTCTTGACTCGCACCTATTAGGTTAGCCTGTTTGTCTATAAGATGGGGAGAGAGGTAGGTGGAATAGGGGTCATGAGGCAGAAGCTGGAATGAGCCACCTAGTCTCCTGACTAGTCCCACCAAGGCAGAGCCATTTATCATCCAGGTGCCTGGGCTGACCAAATCAAATTGGTGGAGACCAAAAAGGAATCATTAAAACCTTAGTGCTTTTCCCTGGAGAGGAAATCCCTCCCAACAGGCTTTTTCCTGCAGTCCTGAAAGATTGTGGGTTAGGCCATACTGTTTCTATAGGCTCTACACCAGTAAGATCCTCCTTACTTAAATCTATATCCTATACACACTATATATATATATATATATATATATATATATAAACATATATTTTAATTTTGACAATTAAAATATGTCAAAACACATATATAGATAGATATAGATATATAGATATGTACAAGTGTGTGTGTGTGTGTGTGTGTGTGTTTTGACATATTTTAATTGATTTGGCCATTATGGTCTCTTCAGATTTCCTAAAATATTGATGAAAGAAAATGGAGAAAGAAAAAAGGAAAAAAAAGGGGGGAAAGGGAAAAAATGAAGGTTAATTGAGTGTTGTATGTGTCCTCTTACCTTTGTTTTTATCAACAGTGAAAAACTTTTCTCCATCCAGTACACTGTACACCACTCTGGCACTGCTGCCATATGTTGGGTCATCAGCATCAGATGCAGTAACCTTCATGACAGACGTCCCTTTTGAAAATAAAAAGCAGTTAAAGGAAAGAAATCAAACTTTTAAGGTTATATTACAATCCTAAAATGCAAATTTGAGCCTGACTCAAGGATGTCAGTGTTTTTTTTTATGAAACTGCTGCCTGTTCTGTCTTTGTGAGGACAAAATTAACAGACTGAAATGATAATTAATGTAAGGGGTTTGTTATTATTTTGGCCAGTAGGTTGTAGAACCACAGTAAAAAATACAAAATTTAGAACTGACAGACAAAGCAATCTGACAGCAATCTATGCTCTCAAAAGATAACACCAAACATTCATTAAGGAATGAGGAATAATAAATATATTTTTTATTTCTCATTAGGAAAATACATTCAGAGTTATGTCAGTATTCTTATAATCATCTTTGTCTTCAGGTCTCAAACATGCCAACAGTACCACAAAATGTAACACAAATATTTTCTAAAATTAAAAATAACAATGTAAGTAGGCTTAGTTTATGTGTGTTTGGGTGTCTTTTGATTAATGTATACCCTGAGTGTGCCTACTGGCAAACTCTTCTGAAAACCACACACCTTCAAGGGCTTTTTTTCTATTTGCATTTGAGCTACCAATATACATGCTAATTGATGAAATAGTCATGTGGAGCTTAGGACATACAACTGCAACCACAACAACAATATTGATGATATTGTAATCAGAGCTGTTTGTTTGGTTTTAATTTGGGGTTTAATGATTTTTTTTTCCCCAGGAGCCCAGCATGAGTAGAGGTCTCTTTTTTTCCTCTTGTACTTTCCCATTGTAGTGTATATTTCAGTGTTTTTTCTGTAACGCTACCAATCTCCGACCTGTATCCCCATGTGATGTCTGTGTTGTGTGTGTAAGGTCGGGGGGGGGGCGTCCCATTTCACTGCAGGGCAACCTGCACGTGGCGAATAAAGCCTTGATTGATTGATTGATTGATTGAAATAATACTGGGAGCTGTGTCTGACCCAAAGTGGGAGGAGGCAACTGCAATTTAATGTCTAAATTGCAGTTTAATGATATTATATGATGTGTTGCACAGAAAGAGCAGTGGAGCCATTTCATTGTAGCTCTTCACACGCATAGTATCTGGTTTTTGCAGTCTTGCAATCTTGTTTCAGCTTCTTCATTTCTCACAATATGACTTTTTTTCTATGTTGATGCCTAGGGTAATACATTGAGAGGAAATGTGAGGAAAATTCCACTTTGATGAGTCAACATTGTATTTTATTGCCACTATTTCATGGATGTAATAAAGCCTAAGTTGCGCTCCATGTTTTGTTACATTTTTAGAACTAACTGCTGAACTACTACCTCTACACTGGAATTATTTCTAATTCCAGTAACACTGGGGGTATAGTAGCTTGTTTGATTTTTTAAGGACCTTGTTATGAAAAAGTTAGGAACATATTTAAGGTTATCCTACCATTTTCTTAACCACTTGGGTCCTAGTCACAAAAGCCTATAGACATCTGAGGCTGGTTTACACTGCACTTTTTCAAGTTTGAGTAACACTTAGTAAGTAGGTAGTGAGTGTTTGTAGACCTGCCAGTTATCTTTTGTAAAAACTATGGAAAACCATTTGAATTTGTTAGCAATCAAAGCAATCACAAGCAGGCTTTTAATGAAGTAGCCTTTTTGTGACTGCCAGCAACCACTCACCAACCAGATGGGGAATACACACTTTTCTCTAGCAACCAGATATTATCAACCAGTCTGTGTGGCTGATGCTGAAGCAGTTAAGAAAATGGATGGGAAGCCTTAACGGTGTTCCCAACTGTTAATGCCTGAGCTTCTATCCAATTTGGTGTAACAGGGTGCTGGGGGTGCCAGGTGCCATAGAGTGTTTGAAGGGCTAACTCAGACAAAAAAACTAAACATTCATACCTACAGCCAGTTTAGATCGTGTACGTCATTGGATTGTGCTGAGAAGCCAGGGAATGTGGAGGGAAGCCCACGGAGGCACAGGGGGAACATGCAAATTCCACAACGAAAGGCCCCAGCTGGATTTGAGCCTAGAACTTTCTTGCTGTGATTTGACAGTGCACCAGACTGCACCGCAGTTAATGTAGTTAAGATTGTGAGCACAGCAATTCATCAGTGTGGGAGACTTAAAAGCATGTGTGTGTGAGTACATGCAAACACCTGTGTCTGTGTTCATGCATACTTGTCTGCGATTATTTTTGGAAGAGGGGAGTTAATGCATTCAGATATTACAGCATCCACTAGCTGTTTCACCTCCATGCCCATAATTTTCCAAACAAATTTTTTGATGTTTCAAATTATCTTTTCACAACACCAAGGCTCAAAGTTGTTATTCATACAGAAGTTGCACACACAGATGAAAGGGAACATGAAGCTGTAGAATCAACATTGTATCATCAAAGCCTGTTAGAAGCTTTAGTAATCTACAACAAACAATTACATATGATTATGAGGCACTTAGACAGAGAATACAAAGAATAAAGTCATTTCCACATGAAATGTCAAATTTGGAATTTGTGGAGCAATGGTGTTTAAGTCATTATTTTCCACTGGGTGTAGTATACTTGTCAACAGTGTGCACAAACAAGCCTCTGGCAGCACAAACGTAGCTCCACATTTAGTAGCACATTTTGGTTAAAACTCCACCTAAAGCCTACACGACTTTAGGCTTCCTAATTTTTAGGTTAGGAAACAGCTGCATACTTGTCTCTAGGATGTGAGTACGTTTTTTTTCTCTATCTAAAAATATATTCACTTCCAGGCAAATGGAAGATAAAAAGAGATTCCTAGGCACCACAGGTCCTCATGGACAAGGAGTCAGTCTTTGTCTCCATCCCTCTGGAGAATGCTTTAGGTAATTACTGACAGCTGGTGTTGTCCACTAAAGGTCACCACTGTAGCCTTTCTCAGAGCCCTGTCATGCTACTGTCCAGCTACATAATGACCGTATGCTAATGATGCTAATGAGCGGGAAGTGTCAGAGCACTGTTTGTTTCCTGTCATCCAATAGAACTCCTAAGGGGAGAAGCAGGAGGGAGAGGCCAGATTACCATTAAAGCCACCCAGCCATTAAATCAGATGGCTCAGATCACTATTCTATCACTGTCACCTATGGTACTCCTGCCAGCTTGCATGCAAAACTACAGCTATCATATGAGGCATCACCCTCTCCTCT